TGTCAGTAATTTTGTATTGATCGAACTTTTCAAATCCCAGATCAAAGATAGCGGCCATTGGCGTATATTATATTTCTCATAAGCCAGAAACGACTAAATTTTGCAGCGTTAGTGTTCCTTTTTAACTTATTTTATTTCACACCTCCATTCACCTCTTTATAACTCATATTTTTGAAACCCCGCGTAAAGTTGACAAACAATCAGCTTTTTATGCAGGTAATTCTAATATATCCTAATAATTCGTAATTTATACGATGGCGAGGCAAATTCACCGAACTTTAATCAAGGGAGTAACTCTCCGTAGTATTTTAGTTCTTCAGATTATTAACAGATTATTGTTCCTTGTAACTTCGTAGTATGATTTGATATCACAATTACTAGCAATCAGTGATTTGTAATTGAGGAAATGTAGGTCATTTGCATGACATTCCCTTTGACTAACAATTCGTTTCACTAATCGCAGTAAGTATAAACTTTGATATCTGGATATATTTTATAATTATATTAGACACAATCGTATCTGTTCAAACGGTATGTTAATCAGGTAAATGCTTTAAATTTGTGTGAATGTGTTATTATTGTTATTATTTCGACTGGAAAAACGTACAAATCTTAGACAAAGAAAATGACAAAGAATTCCTAGAAGCCTACCACTCAGATACATTAAGATGGATAAGATTTTTCAATCAATAAAAAAGACACATGGACCAAAAGTCAACTATGTGATACAAAAAATAATCAGTACCAATATTGGTGGGCAAGAAGGTGGAAAAATCTGTGGAAATAACCAGTTACATTCAGGGTTATCAAAAGAGATGACTGATTAAATGATGCAGAATTCTAAGAGTTCACTTGCTGCTGAAGTCTTTGCTGAAGATATAGTCCAGGTGGACAATGAAAGCTTGGCGAGTGAATCATCCAACTCAGAGAAAGCATCTACAGCAATTTCTTAAGGTTTATAGGTACACATGCTATGGGAACATTTGCTGACACAGGTGCATTTGAGCAATGCAAACAAACACTCAATAACTGGAGGTCAATCCAATATCGTCCTTCCATCCTTGTGCATTGTAGTCTCTCATTTCTGGGCAATATGATTAATGGAATAACCTTCATTAGTAAACTTCCCGAACAGTACACCATGGAAAGCGAATTCGCAACCCTTACAAATACGTTTAGCTATTACTTGAGGCCGCAGCAAAGTAGAAAATTATTTTCACCCAGCGACTGAATGACTGATCTTAGGGATCATCATAATTTCAAAAAGATTTTCAGGCCCGCTCATAAAATGCTATACCCTCTTAAGTCCTCTGTGCCATCCATCTTAAGAAATAATACAATTATATGTGATTCTACAGACATTTGTCAGCCCTTATTTTGCACACTAGTAAGATTACGATATGAGAACAGAATTTTGGCACTGGGAGAATGTAATTCCATAATAGAATAATTTTATTTGACAGAACACAGCATTATTTCTATACTTACGACATTTCAAGAACAATTTACTGATCATAATCATTTTGTAACGACAGAAGTCAAGGGCCAGGAAACATATCGTTTATTGAGAAAATCAACAGATATTTATAGATTCTTATGTACATTATTATTCGTTATCGTTAGTAGAGAAGCAACCTCTTCTGATTGGTCGTTTTCTCACTAGAAGTTATTCTGTCATCTCTTTGTATCCGTTTCTTAGACAGTCCGTTGATATATCTGCAAATTGTATCCGCCCACACAAAGTCTTTGTTCTTGTTTTTCTCATGACCAAGATTTGGGACGTGAATATTGACGTAAATTGCTGTCTACTAATTTTGGTTAGCAGACAGCTCTCACCACAGTATAAAAGTACTCATGTAACTTTCCAATTTAGTTTATATGATTGTATCACTCATCCTTTGGCTTTGTTGCTAGTAATGTTTCCGATATAAATATCTCATCATTCTTAATACACGTGTTAGGTGAAGAGATTACTTTCTCTTTGCATAATATCTGTACTGTAATTTCCAAAGTTTTAGAACTCTTTTAACGTGAACATATTTGGACTGGCTCCAACGCCATTTTTGCGCTTTTCCGTTGTGTTGTCAAGACGCGCATTCTTTGATTTGTATTACAGTCTAATTCGTTGGATAATTCTGTATTACTTTTTCTGAGGATAATTTTGATCTAATATTTTACCTGAATATACTGGTCACCTCAGCACATTTCCAATTAACTAACTCTAAAATTTTGTCGCCAGTACTTACAGGTTAGGTAGAGTGCTGATTTATTGAGTAACTAAGCAAATTATGTCACGTTAGGTATGGTAAAGTGTAGCTTACCAACAACACTACTGGTCACTCACACATTATTATCCATTAAGTAAATACACAATGCTTTATCACTACTTTTTATCGAATGAAATTATTCAAGAGTGACTAAAGATAGTATTTGGGTTCTGCTCAATGCAGAGCTATCATTAAGAAAGGGGTGTATTCATTTAGACAGCAGGTCTACTACAAATCACTTATCTCTCAGAATCAAAGCAAAAGCTTATATCAATCTCAGACTCATTGGAAGAAGATCAAGTTTCAGGACAATAGGAAAGCTACCGGGGGTTGGTGAGTATAACAATAATACCTTAATTTCCTCCAGTAATATGTTTACCTAGGAAAGTTCACAGCAATGTAATATGGTAAAAATTTATTTCCTTAACATAAAAATCTATAAAATATTTCACTAGACTATTGAAATACAATACAATAAATAAATCCGGAATAACTGTCTTGTACTCCTGGGTTCTCAATGGTTTTCCAACTGAAGTCAATTCATGGTAACTTTGAAAATCAATCAGATTTTGAATTAATATAGAAGATTTGTAGCTCAGGTGGATGAGCTGGTTGATTTAGTTGCGGAGCTTTCGTCGTCCTTCTGGACAACACCCCCTTCTGCGCAATTTTTAGCATAAAGTGAATTGATTTTAATTTTTTCCATGAGTGATAGAATTGCGTCTCCCGGTAACCATCTTTACATATGTACTGATCATTTTCTATTGACTTGGATTTTAAACTTTCTTGTCACATGATTTACTTTTTATTAGTTGGTAGATTTGGTCTATATTAACATTGCATATTCGTTTGAGTGCCAGGTTCCTAGAAATTCCCTGGCACTTTTGGTGTTTCCTCTGTCTAAAATTTTGACATTATCCCAATGAAACTGATGTCCATAATTATCTATATGCATTGATATGAAAGAATATATACATATATCATGTCTTTTCACAGCTGATTTGTGTTCCTGGATTCTGATTTGCAGGAGTCCCCTGCAAATCATCAATTGAAAGTATATCAGAATCTTAGTCCCCTGATGATTTTATATCAGTAGCCTATAAGTAGTAATAATAATAAGGTTAGTTATCCAAAACTGATAAAAAAAATCGAGAGAATCTCGTTTACTAGGCTCACTAATTTTTAACAATTTTATTCATGTAAAACACGAAATATTATTATTATTTCCTTTAGTTCCTAGAGGAACATAGGGCTTCAGCCATGCGTCTCCATTGCGTTCGGTTCTCTGCTAGAGTTTTCACCTGGCTCCAAGTCTGCCCATACGCTTTCAATTCTTCTTCACATGATCTCCTCCAGCTCACCCTTGGACGACCAACTCGTCGCTAACCTTTCGGGTTCCACTCGAGCATGGCTTGTCTAGTGATGTCACTTGATGGTTTCCTCAGAGTGTGGCCAATCCACCTACATTTCTTCCTGCATATTTGCTGCAAAATCGGTTCCTGGTTGGTTCGCTCCCTGAGATCCCTGTTGCTGATCAATTCTGGTCATCTGATCTTAAGCATTTAGCGAAGACAACTGTTAATGAAGGTCTGTAGCTTGTTTGAGGTGCTCTTTGTGACACGCCAAGTCTCTGATCCGTATAGTAGTACTGACTGACTTCACATTGGAGTTGAAAATCCGGATCTTATTTTTGACGCTGAATGCTGTTGACCTCCACACAGACTTGAGAGAAATGAAAGCTTGCCTTGCTTTCCCGATCCTTGCTTTGATATCCTCGTCAGTTCCGCCTGTAGTTGAAACAATGCTTCCTAGGTAGGTAAAGGAGGTAGTTTCTTTCAGGTTCCTTCCATTTATGTTGATTGCTGTCTGTTTTTGTTGCTGTGGCTGTTGGTGTTGGCCAGGTATCTTCATCACCTCCGTTTTCTCTATGTTCACCTGGAGTTCTATCTTTGATGCTTTCTCTGCCAACTTGTTACTTTTCACTTGCATATCTTCCAGTTTGTGGGAAATCAAAAGCATATTATCGGTGAAATCCAGATCCTCCAAGTTTTTTGTGTGAGTTCATTTTATGCCTGTTTCCTCATTGCCCGCTGTCTGTCGCATTATCCAATCTACTGCAATCAGGAAAATCATTGGCGATAGTAGGCAACCCTGTCTTACTCCTGTCTTCACTTCGAAGGATTCCATGAGTTTCCCGTTGTGGATTACTTGGTATGCAGCATTGTCGTATAACTGTTGGATGAGATATATAATTGTCGGCGGCACCCCGTAGTAGCGAAGTAGTTTCCAAATCACCTCTCGATCGACGCTGTCGAAGGCCTTTTCAAAGTCGATGAAGTTGAGATAGAGAGGTGACTTCAGCGTGAACAATCTCCTCGCGTCAAAAGAAAACACGAATTAATTGGGACTTAACTGAAATGATTAAATAATAATGCGTGATGGTTATCTCGACAGCTTGAATTGGATTCCTCATGCTTACTTATACAATAAAATAAAATAAATACTTTCACTTTGCATGTGGTTTATTTGCATTTTACAGAAAATCTACTCAACTTCTGGAATATTATTGTAAAAAAAGGGAGAATTGCAGTGAGCTATGTGTATATAATACAAACTAAATTGACTGATAAATGATACAGCCTGAAAACAAGTAAATAAGTTGAATCAAATAGAGAAGTATAATGAAGGAAAGCAAACTGATTTTGTGTCAAAAAAAGACCAATATCCTTAATTTTATAACTTCATTTGAAATAAATAAATAATGCAGTTTTTATCTGATTGTTTTGACTCATACTGAGTGACTAATTCACATTCATGGTTCAATAACAATTCCCATAATTTAAGCTGTTGGTAAGATGACATCATAAACCAAGTAAGCTCAGAATAATCTTCACATTCAACGATTTGAAAAGAATTAGGCATGACATTTGCGAAATGAGCGTTTAATTCATTAAAACATCTTAACACCTTTTGATTATTACACTTTGAGAATATAATTTTACCTTGATGAGGTGGAGATATGTTTATTTCTAACATTATGCAAAAGTATTTCTTGTACATCAAATTGTTCTTTGATAGATCACCTTGAATTTCATCATCATTTTGATGAAAAGGCAAATTGACAGTCAAATATTCTCGAGAGTAGGATATTCCCGTATCACTATTTTCACTTCTGTTACTGTACGATTCATTCAGGTCTGATTCGTTTAGACTATCGACTTTCAGTTGTTTTTTTGGCGTACATCGTAATTCTTTCTCATCTGAATGCATCTGCTGCTCTTTTTCTTCTATAAATTGTTCAAACTGACTGACTTCTCTTCTTTTTAGCCTGCCTTTAATTTGTTTCAGCTGATGAGTCATCTCATGTAAGCCGTAGAAGTTTGCTTCTTCAATTAATTGATCCATTTCAGTAAAGTGTGGATCTAAGTTCACTTTACCAGTACGTAAGAAGTTAAGCACATGTCTGAAAAGAGTTCCATCACGATCGATAAAATAGTGCTGTTTCATTGTATCTAAAACAATAGGAATTGTTCCATTGAACATTTTCCCCAACAGTGATTTCGGATACCTATTTCATAGAAAAATGCAACAAATTTTAGAAAAAGAATCTGGTAAGTAATTTAGAATATATCTGTGTAGATACTGAAATAAACAATTTCAATTTTATGGTGCATTTATTATAAGAAACAGTCGATAAATACACTTCAATCGGTAAATATATCTCAGCTTAGGATATTCAAGGGAAATTAAAGTATCAGCAATAGTGTGAGTTAAATTGGTAAGGAATTTTATTTTCAAGTGTTGGTTTGTAGGGATTTGATTGGTTACAGGATTTCATCATGAGCTGACATCAGTTGGAGAACCATTGGAAAACCTGGGGGTACTGGACAGCTGTTTCGTCCTAGTTTGGGACTCTTCAGCAGTACGCATTCACCACCAGGGTTCGAACCCAGGACCTTCTGGTTACAAGGCTAGCGAGCTCTTACACCATTAAGCCACTGGGACTCGATCCGATGGCCAGCCCATGAATTCTAACTTCTGCCAATTCACGATATAGCTCAACCGCTAGCCAATGTCTTCGGCGAGTATTTGTCCTCATACCCGACCTGCTGCACCCTACTGGTCACGACCTCCCACTAGAACCCCAGGTGACTACCCACCTGAATTGGGCATTTTTTTAGGAATTTAGGAATTAGGAATTTTATTTTTTTTTATTTATTTATTTTAAGAATTTTATTATCCAAATATTGCAATTTACAGAGTCCTTTAAAAGCTAAGCACCAATCAGAAAGCAATATTTCACATCAACTACTTCCATTCAGAGTTTCGTTTTAAGAATCCCAAGTTGCATAGAAGGAGAGCAAATCATTCCATTCATAAGTCAAATAATTACCTGTTTCCACATATTTTATTGTGCGTCGCTGGCAAAGAGATAGAATGCTTGCCAACCACGCATGTGGTCCTAGGGTTTGATCCCCAGTCGACACACTCCCTTACCTCGCTAAGCCGGTAATAAGTCTGGTAAAGAGGAAGGTTTACGCATGAAGCTAGCAAATCCATCACGTAAAAATAAGACCACTTCTATAGAAACGTCAAAGCTCTACCTTGATGTCTTAAGTTCCACTGGGAACTTAAAGGAACAAGAAAACACATTACTATTATTCACTTGGGTTCCGAGTGAAACATAGAGCTTCAACAACATACCTCCACTTTGTCCAATTTTCTACTGTCCTCTTTAGCTGGCCCCAAGACTGCTAATAATCTCGCATCTCCTCCATGTCAAACTTACAGTGACGACCGACTCGTCACTTCCTGTAGGGATTTCACTCGAGCAATGACGTGGTGTGTGATGTCATTCGACAGCCTCCTCAAAGTGTACACGATCCATCTCCATTTTCTCCTACATATTTGTTGATCGATCGGCTCCTGGTTTGTTTGTTGCCAGAGTTTCTTGTTACTGATTCTTTCTGGCGAGCCGGTCATTTAATCTTCAGTATGGAGCCAGCGAGCATCATCTTGGAGAGAATCAAACACTCCCTAAATGAAAAACTTCGACCGGAACAAGATGGATTCAGGAGAAGCAAGTCATGCATCGATCGAATTGCAACACTATGGATCATCACTGAACAGAGCTTGGAATGGCAGTCAGCCCTCTATCTCAACTTCATCGACTTTGAAAAGGCCTTCGACAGCGTCGATCGAGAGGTGATTTGGAAACTACTTCGCTACTACGGGGTGCCGCCGACAATTATATATCTCATCCAACAGTTATACGACAATGCTGCATACCAAGTAATCCACAACGGGAAACTCATGGAATCCTTCGAAGTGAAGACAGGAGTAAGACAGGGTTGCCTACTATCGCCAATGATTTTCCTGATTGCAGTAGATTGGATAATGCGACAGACAGCGGGCAATGAGGAAACAGGCATAAAATGGACTCACACAAAGAACTTGGAGGATCTGGACTTCGCCGATGATATATGTCTGATTTCCCACAAACTGGAAGATATGCAAGTGAAAAGTAACAAGTTGGCGAGAGAAGAAGCATCAAAGATAGGACTTCAGGTGAACATAGAGAAAACGGAGGTGATGAAGATTCCTGGCCAACACCAACAGCCACAGCAACAAAAACAGACAGCAATCAACATAAGTGGAAGGACCCTGAAAGAAACTGCCTCCTTTACCTACTTGGGAAGCATCGTTTCAACTACAGGCGGAACTGACGAGGATATCAAAGCAAGAATCGGAAAAGCAAGACAAGCTTTCATTTCTCTCAAGTCTGTGTGGAGGTCAACAGCACTCAGCATCAAAAATAAGATCCGGATTTTCAACTCCAATGTGAAGTCAGTCAGTGCTACTATACGGATCGGAGACTTGGCGTGTCATAAAGAGCACCTCAAACAAGCTACAGACCTTCATTAACAGATGTCTTCGCTCAATACTTAAGATCAGATGGCCGGAAAGGATCAGCAACAAAGATCTCTGGGAGCGAACCAACCAGGAACCGATTTTGCAGCAAATATGCAGTAAGAAATGTAGGTGGATTGGCCATATTCTGAGAAAACCATCAAGTGCCATCACACAACAGGCCATCGGTGGAGTGGAACCTGGCCGAACGGGAAGTGGCGAGTCGGTCGTCAGTGCGGCGGTGTGGTGACATGGAGGAGGTCATGTGAAGAGTATATGAAAGCATGTGGGCAGACGTGGAGGCAGGTGAAAACGTTGGTGGAGAACCGAACACAATGGGGACGTGTGGCTGAAGCCCCATGTTCTTTTAGGAACTAAAGGAAACAATAATTACAACCGAGCTAGCGAAGGTAACTGCTGACAAAAGTCTTTAACTTTCTGGAAATCCTTTCTGTGACACGCCAAGTTTCTTACCCGTATAGAATGACTGACTTCTCATTTGTGTTGAAAATCTGGGTCTTGTTCTGTATGCTGTGCGGTGCTGAAGACTTCCAAACTGGTTTCAGGTTGATGAAGACGCATCTTGCCTTTCTACATATTCACAGATAAATTATTCTCTTTGATTTGGTTATATACAGTATTTTGAGTTTCCTGTTTAGCACACCTTCCTATCTACTTATAAAGATGAAATTTAAGGATCATCATCATTCAGTCAACTCAAAAGGGTGGGGAAAGAAGAAATACCTAATAATGAGTGACAACTTAATGGCTATATCATATATATATATATATATATACTTCATGATTAAAATTTTGAAATTATTATGTTATTCAGATACCACTTACATATCGCCCGAGGACCCCAAACTAGAAGTCTACAACTCCCTACGTGGTTGGCTTAAACTAACTTTTGTGAATTTCATTGACTGATGCCATGTTTTGGTTTGACCACCGCTAGCTCCTTTCCAACTTGACCCTATTTCAGCTAACATTGCTCATAGAGGAAGGCGATGGCTAGGCATACGTAACAGATGTCCTAAACATCTCAGTCTATGTAGCTTCACAGCCTCGTCGACTGATTTCCCCCTCCTTACGTAGCACTCCACCAAAGCCTAACCTCAATATTCCTCACCATATTAAACCGCTTGACATTGCAGATAGAACGCAGGCACCTATGATCAAAGACAGCTAGCCTTTTCATGTCTTCCACTTTCAATGGCCATGTCTGACTGACAGCCATAAAGGAGGACGGAGCGGACTGCTGAACAGTACACACGCCCTTTGGTCGATAGCTGGCCGGAATCACGTCTATGCCAAAGATGACGTAAGTTAGCATATACCGAACGAGCCCCTTGTATCCATGCTGAGATTTCGTCAACGATCAACTCGTTTGGGTTGATGCAAATTCCCAAATAAGTGAAGTGGTCAACACGCTCTACTACTTCACTCCTTGTCTTTAAGTTAGGAGTCAATGTAGTCCAGTCCAGTAGCATCATCTTACATTTGACAAAGGGAGCCAATTGCATGCCGAACATTCTCAAATTGCAGCTCAAGGTGTTCAGAAGACTCTGCTCTATTTTGTCAGCGTATTCACCTAGGAGAGAGGACTATATCATCTGCATATTTTAAGTCAACGAGATTATTCCCTGGTGGTAACAAGTCAATCCCTGAGTCGCTCAAGTAACTACATAACCACACACATAAATTCAACTACACACAAAGATTATAACGATATACAAGAATTATATATTTAACCTTATAAAACCCTAAGAGGATGAAGATGCTGCAACTAACCACCTGAAGGCATTACCCTTCATGCATCCAATTAATCAGTGTCTGTGTCATTTAGAAGCACAATTTATCATCATCTTTTAATAAGGTATTCCTCCTTCTGTTTAGCTTTTATATAGTAAACGTTTATTTCCTCATTTTATTGAATTCCTCATATACATATATATGCGCTCACTTTGATGGATATTTCGGACTACTGGGATTGAATTATTGCAAATGCGTGTAAAAATTCACCGTAATTTAACCTAAAGTTACTCGTTATATCTAAGCACTTTGTAGCTGTGTTTTTTATTTTTACTTCCCTGCAATACACTAGTTAAGATTGCCTCAGGCTAGACATTTGATCAAAATCAGCCTTAAGCTATCTAACCTTTTTGATGAGAAATCCGACTGTGTGTGTTTGTGTGTGTGTATAGTACTTTAGCATGTAAAACAGAAATTAGGCAACAACAACAACAAAAAAAACTTAATAACTTTTAGAATACAAGTTCATTTAAGCTTAAATAATATATCATATTTTAAAGACAAGCTTTCTGATGAAATATTTCTGTTTTCAAATATATCTGATTTAAGAGGAATAATAAAAAGGAAGAATTTTGCTTATTTGTTTTAGTTAGACACTTCGGTAGATTCAAATGTAAACCTCAGTAGAGGTGTGACTATGGAACAAAAACTATGAATGTTATTTAGCGAAATTTTAGCTTTTTCATTAGGTTCTATACAAATTTTATTTAACTGAATTGAATTTAAGATTTTCCCATCGATTGATTGGACCGGATTCCACTGCTAGTCACCACCCACCAGTTAAATTTATTTAATTTGTACTTGCAACTCCGAGGGTCCCGCTTACCATACATGTATGGCCTT